CCAGTTTGAACTGCATAACGAGACCCTGTCTCAAAAAAAAAAAAAAAAAAAAAAGTGTATGGTTTTGGTTTTTCCATTCTTTTGCATGTTCTTTACTCTGAGCTATTCCCAGGAGTATGGGAATGTCATTGTAGTTGCACGTTTCCGTCACCGCGGTGCACCGGCACACTGAGAGTATACATAATGCTCACGATCAGCATAGGGAATTTGTTCATGAATGTGATGTGATCTTGCTTCTTCTCCCATTCCCCTAGCTTCCCTTCAACACTTCTTCCTCGCCTATTTACAAAGGTTTTGATCCTATTTTCTTCCTACTATTCTTTTCCTTGTCACTTCTTTTCTTTCCTCCACCTCTCCCTTGTTCCTGTTCTCATCTGAACACGTTCTACCCATTTTTCCAATATGTATTATACATTTGGTCCTTATTTTGTGGCCTTTATTTGTTTGTTTGTTTGTTCATTTGTTTGTCTTTTTGAGACAAGTTCTTGTTATGCAGTTCAAACTGGCCTTGAGCTCACCTAGTAGCCCAGGCTAATCTCGAACTCCCAACCATTCTCCTGCCTCAGCCTCCTCAGTGCTAGGATTACAGGTGTGCACCACCAAGCCCAGCTGCATTTATTCATATGAAGAATATACATATGTAGAATACATATTAATATATGTAAATATTTTGTTTGTTTGTTTTTGTGGTACCAGGGATTGAACTCAGGACCTTGCACTTGCCACTCAGGTGCTTAAGCCACTGAGCTACCTCCCCAGCCCATGAAGATATTAATATATACATATATTATTATATATGTATATATAACATTAAGTTATACATTAATATGTATATATTACATATAATATATCAATATATGTAGAATAATATTAATATGAAGATTCCCAGGCATCAGCAGAGCTAGAGACAATGGGTATAAGGGCTTGGTGGATACATGAGTAAAACACGCTGTCTGAGAGTATTCTTTACTTTTCCGTGCTGGAGAGTGAACCCCGGGCCCTGTGCATGTGAGACAAGTACTCTCCAACTGAGCCACATTCTGAGCCCTTGTCTGAGAGTTTTGCAAGACCACAAGAAGTAGTGGGGGTGAGGATCAGTGCAGGACCCTGGGACTTGTCTGCAGCAAGAAAGTGCTGCTCACCTGCAGCTCAAAGAGTTTCTACAGGAAAGTGTGCTTGTTGCTTCCTCATTTTTGTCTTTGTGTCAAAAACAGTAAAAATAGGGGCTGGGGAGATGGCTCAGTGGAATAAGCACTTCCCTGGGAAGCGCAAGGGCCTGAGTTCAATCCCCGGTTCCGCGAAAAAAAAAAAAAAAAAAACAAAACAGTAAAAATAATTATATTGATAAGAAGTGTTGGGGCCCGTGAGACAGCTCAGTGGTCCAAAGCGCCTGCTTAGGCAAGCTTAGCCAGGTGCAGGGGACCACAGTTCGATCCCTGGCACCACATGCTGCATCAGACCCACCCTCAGGGTGGGTCCCTTCATTTTTCAAAAAAAATGAAGTTTCACTTTTCAGATATTGGCATCTAATTCACAAGTATAGTTAAACAATGTGTACATCAAGTAAAATAAATCTGTGAGGGGCTGGAGAGATGGCTCAGTGGTCTAAAGCACCTACTTAGAACAAGCTTAGCAAAAGCATCAGGGACCGCGGTTCAATCCCCCAGCA